GCCCCCTGGTTATAAAAAAAAAAAAAAAAAAATGAAATGTTATTTGAAAACGCGGTTAAAATGCGTATATAAAAATTATACGTGCGAACAACTTAATTCGCACTCTGGTTACTAGCAGTCTCACTTCTGCGTCTCGTGCAGTGAACGCCTCCGTGCCAAGTTAAAAACGAGCCTCTTGCTCATCTTTCTATCCATTTGCAATCTAATGTGACCAGTCCGTTAATAGAGAAGCACGAGACATCATGCAGATTAACTCATAATATATTATGAACTTAAATCTCACTACTTTTAATGCAACTTACAGTTCATTGGTTTGAAACAGTCATATTATTAGACTACTTTAACACATACTCTGACTTTTGTCATCACTGCATTCGTTATATTTAATAACTTATTTTCTGAATTTTAAAAAATAGAAAGATAGGTATTCCTGATAAATAACATGATCCGTTCACCTCTGGGTAGCTGTCCTTGGCGAACACATGCAGCAGCGCCGTTTTTCCACACTGAGTGTCACCGACCACCACGATCTTGCAGCGGCTGCACTGTCCTTCCATCATCATCACTATCAGCTCTGTCCTAGCGCTTAACGAGCACCATCCGCTGCCTGATAACGGTCCTTTATAGCGCTGAATTAATGAATCAGGGGAGAGACAGTGAGTGTGTCTCTGAGTGGACGGGTATGTGCCAGAGAGAGAGTCCACTCACACATTGGCGCGCGCCCCTCCCCTGTCCGCCCGTCAGTCTCCCGGTTCCCACGGTGACACCACGCGCTGAGTCTCACCCCCTCTCGCGCGTCATGAGCCGGGCGTGCGGGTCGTGCTGCTGCCTCTTGACTCAGTTCCCTTGATTTCTAATGACACGATGCGGTTATCTCGCCTTCCTACTGTGCTTTGGGCATGGTGTAAATTAAGCGACCCCTCTGGCTCGTGTATGGAAATTGTTTTAACGATGTGATTTAACACATCATTGAGTCGCCCATCCAGTGTTCCCAAGGTCATGAAAAATATCATTTAGTCATTTAGCAGACGCTTTTATCTAAAGCGACTTACAAATGAGGACAATGGAAGCAATCAAAATCAATAAAAGAGCAATGATATACAAGTGCTATAACAAGTCTCAGTTAGCTTAATGCAGTTCACGTAGCAAGGGTTTTTTAAACAATATAATAAATAAAAAGAAAACAGATAGAATAGAAAAAGAATAGAGCAAGCTAGTGTTAGAGGTCTTTTTTGCTTTTGTTAATTGTATAATACATGAAAAGAAAACGGATAGAATGCAAAAAGATTAGAAAGCAAGTGTTAGTTTTAATATCAATAAATTATTATTAAATGCACGCACTTGGAACATTAGTGCAATTTAACAAAATGTCAAAAAGTCACAATTTCTATAGAGAATAGGCTACATTGTGTTCTATCTAAAATATTTCATTTGGAAAGAATTTCATTGCTTGTTGTGAGTGCAATCTCTATTAATTGATTTTAAATTCGTATTTTACATTAAAATGATATTTCTGTCTCTAAATATTAATGTGTTGGCTACAGAGTGTTGAGAAAGTTCAGGTGAGGTTTAACATTATAAACCAAAAATATAGGCTATAGCCTATATTAGATTAGGAAAGTTTGCAAATTGCCCTACCTGAATCTCTTAGAGTGGAAAATGGTGATTTCTCAGCGACAGCATTGGTCATCTGAAAACCCTATATCTTTGATGAATTTAATAGCTTTTTCAGCACATTTAGGCTCTTTGGGTGATAAATTGATCTTCCTAGAACCATAACACTCAAGAGAAAAAAATAATAATAAAAAAGGTAAATTGATACAAATTTAGGGATGTGGAACTGTTATATTTTTAAAAACATTGAACTGCTATAGGCTATTTTAGTTACTATATCAATTTACATTATTACTGAGAATAATAATATGAGCATACATTTCAAAAGTAAAGACTTCATTTTTTTTTTCAATAAATTGGCAAACCAGTCGCCTATAAGAATAGAATCTCATTCATTATTTTAATTATTAAATATGAATAACATTAATAATAATATTAATAATATGTCTACCCCATGATGGCATTTGCACTGTTATGGTCACTGGCCATATATTTTTGGCCATATCTAAACAGTTAGATCTACAATTAGATCTAAGGTGTATATATATATATATATATATATACAGTGGGTACGGAAAGTATTCAGACCCCCTTAAATTTTTCACTCTTTGTTATATTGCAGCCATTTGCTAAAATCATTTAAGTTAATTTTTTTTCTCATGAATGTACACACAGCACCCCATATTGACAGAAAAACACAGAATCGTTGACATTTTTGCAGATTTATTAAAAAAGAAAAACTGAAATATCACATGGTCCTAAGTATTCAGACCCTTTGCTCAGTATTTAGTAGAAGCACCCTTTTGATCTAATACAGCCATGAGTCTTTTTGGGAAAGATGCAACAAGTTTTTCACACCTGGATTTGGGGATCCTGGTCTGAATACTTTCCGTACCCACTGTATATATATATATATACGCCTTAGATCTAATTTTTAAAAAATTAAAAATTAGATGAATATTGTATTATTTTACTTTTTTTCAACAGCATGTTAAAAAAGTTACCGTTTTAGCCTTAATTACATTTATGTTTCTGCCAAACAAGTTTTCAGTGCAAGTGTGTGTCTACAAGGTCTGGTTTTTTTGTTTTGTTTTGTTTTTTTGCATTCATTGTAAATGTAATGCCGCCATCTGCTGTTGAATGTTGAAAGATGTTTGTCTTTGAATTTATTACATGGTATGTTGATTTATTTATTTATTATTATTATTATTTTATTTTAGTTTTTTTGAGTGGTGTGGACATGTGCTCACTTTGTGTATTTGGGTATAGAATTAAATCTGACTGAAGAGGGGACATCGTTTGTACACGAATGCAATAATTATTTTTTATTTGTTTTAATTGCCATTGTGAGTTCTCAGATTCTTTATATGGGCTACTATATTGTGTTTTAAGCTAGTGATATGGTCTTAAGCCAACTTTTAAAATCGTATTTAAAAAAGAGATTATAGTAACATTTCATTCGGTTTTGGTCAGGGATTGAAATCGTACTCAGCGATTCTGAATATTTCTATATTCCGTATTGCGCTCAGGAATTCATTTCACGCCCCAAACCCAATCATTACTGACAACCATCATCCGCAGACGGGTTCCATTGGACAGCCACACCCATTAAGCGCTGTCTCGCTTTTACCAACAGGGGGAGACAAATACCACGAGACCAAGCACTTGTCACGTTAGAACGCTACACGATAGCCAAGCATTTTTTGTTGTTTTATTTAGCATTGAGTTGTTGTCAATGGTCCATTACTAACCACATGAGGTTACCACATTCCTGCTGTCCATGAATGTCTACTTTCACACAATGGGTTTATGACCTTCTAAACTGCATAACTGTCCTGTATTCACAATTTCTTTCAGCGTTATTTCTTGTACAGTCTGTTTGGTTTATTGTTTCTAAAGCCAGTTGCACCTTGTGGCATGAGCCTAGGTTCCTGGTATAAGAGGGTTTCATTATAAAGCCCTGAAAACAAACAAACAAGCATAAATAAATATGATGTTGTTGAGTTTCCTACATGCAGATGTTGCATACATTTGTAGATAAAGAAAATACCAAATATAAGAAAGATAAAAAGAAAATGAATTGAAAAAATGTTAATCCACTTAAATATGCTCTCATTCCCATCTAGATTATTGTAATACTTCACTGTTTGGCACATAATCCTATGAAAAGCAACAACTTTGCATAATGTGATAAATAACATGGATGTTAGCTTGTTTATATCCAAATGACAGGTTAAATTTTATACGAATGTATAATAGAGAGTATACATTTTACTGTTTCTTCACTATTTTGAGGGTTTTCATTTGAAGAAAGTTCATTTTAAGGGTCCTCTGTTGTAAGAAATGTTTAAGATTTGTAGACATGATGGTACAGTATTATGGTGTCATGAGTGGTTGCTAGGGCATTGCTATGCAGTTGCTTAGGTGTTTTAAGTTTTTCTACTGCATTTCTATGTTGATGGGTGTTTTGAGTGATTGTTAGGTGACTTCTTTTGGGATTTGATGGAGTGTTTGGACCCAGAAACAGTGATGTGTGACATATAATAATCCCCTTCACAAGCAGATTATTATTAAAGGAATGGTTCACCCAAAAAAGAAAATTTGCTTAAAATGTACTCTCCAAAAATTGGAGAAACATAGCATTATATCACTTGCTCACCAATGGATCCTCTGCAGTGAATGGGTGTTATCAGAATGAGAGTGATAAATGCTGATAAAAACGTTACAATAACCTATAAGTATTGATTATGGACTCCTGTTTTGGTCAGAAATTATGGTTTTGTTTCTTACAAACACACAGCTTTCTGCTTCACAAAATGCTAAAAGATGGACTGGATTGTGCGGGTTACTTGTGGATTATTGTGATGTTTTTATCAGCTGTTTTGACCCTCATTCTGACGGCACCCATTCACTGCAGAGGATCCACTGTTGGGTGAACTATCATAGCATGCCACACTGATGGAAACTCCTGTCACCACAGAAATGTCATGCCAATTTCCTATGCTTTTTTTTTTTGTCCAGTCCTGCACTTAATATGTGGGTGTGCTGTGGACCTGGTTACGTAAAGGACTGTCTCCTTAAATATATTCCTTTTGGACACACAGAAGCCTGTTTACTGGGCTGTTTGTCATGTTCAGGGTCAGTGAAAGAGCAGTCAGTGGGTATTTTAGTGTCTTAGCCGCTTATAAACAGTAGCGCCAACCTCTTTTTGTTGTGTATGTGAATCTAGCACAAGTCTGAGCAAGTTTAAACAGTAGCCCGCTTCATTTACAACTGAAGTGTATGTGTGTGCATGTACCTCGCGTCTCTGGATCTCAAGGGGCCAAGGAAAGCTAATTTTCATCCACCACTCCAGCCTCATTTTCTCTGTCTTGCTTTGTGTGCAAAACCTATATCAGGCCCAGAATGCATCAGATGCACACAGCCTAACCCACTTACAGCTTAACCAGACTGCAGAGGGTGCCTATTCACACACATTTATGGTCTAGGGTTAACTACGGTCAGGATATCTCTCTCTGTCTCTATTCCCGTTCAATCTTCTCCATATCAAATGCCATTGTAAACTTTTATTACCCCTTATATGTCACCCAGGAAAGAGGTTAATTTTTAATTTCTAATTACCAAAAGGTTACACAGAAAATGTTATTGCTCAGAGGTTGCACTTTCATAGTCATAATTTGTGATTATATTTACGATAAAACAGAAATATTTTGCATAGATAAATAATTATTGATAAAACAAGCAGTATTAATTACAATTATAATTTATGATAATATTTGTAATTAAAACTATTATTTTACATAGATATTGATAAAAATTGAATAATTGAATACAGTTATAATCACAATTTAGGATTATATTTGATTATAACACTTATTTTGCATACATAGATATTGATCAAATAAGAATAATTAAATAAAGTTATATAATTATATTAATTATATTTAGGATTGAAACAATTATGTGCATAGATAAACATTGACAAAATAAGCATAGTGAAATTATAATCATAATTTATGATTACATTTATAATTAAAACAATAATTTTGCATAAATGTATAGATACAGATCAAATAAGCATAATTTAAAGTTCATAGTTTAAAGGT